GATATAGGGCTCTAATTTATCGATTAAATAAATAATATTAATTCTGATATGTATCATTCATACTTTGTTCTTCATACAGAAAACACTACATATTCTATTTATACATATTTACTCCTTTCGAAACATAGTACCATATTTCTTCTTCTCCATAGATCTTTCTTGTTTTTCCAAGGTTTATTTTTTATAACTGAACTATATAGTATATACTTTAGAAACTTAAAATAAAATAGATATATATTTGTCATTTGGTTAAAGTGAGAAAGGAAGTTCTAATGCAGTCTAGTACAGGAATAAAAACAAGTTCCACAAGTTACATAAACTGTCCAAAAAATTTAGAAAAATAACATGTGTTATCTTATGGCCTTGAATTTAAATCTGTGTTTATCTGGTTATGTGCCTTTTAACTTAAATCTGTGTTTTTCACTGACTATGCAAAGAAATAAAAAAAAAAAACGCGCGCGCTTTTCTTGGCCTTTGGTGCATCTCACGTGTTTCCGACCGCGACCGGCGTTGTTCGGCGCGTGTACGTTCCTCACCTACGTCCGCCTCGGTAAGATAAAACTGCGAGCCTAGATCGGCCAATTTGCACACGGCGTGATCGTGGAGCGTGACGGATTTGACACCGCCGAGGATGACGTTCTTGGCGACCTCGACGCCGAGTCCACCGAGGCCGGAGATGAGCACGTCCGAGGACGCCATGCGGCGCATGGCGTCGTGTCCGAGGACATAGAGCTGTCTAGAGTATAAACCCTCGTCGATATCGGTGGGTGCCCGACCAGTGGTACCGCCGCTGCCGCTGCTGGAGCTCGTGGAGCCGTTCTTCGCCATGTCTACGTCCATCTCCGCCACGTTCGTCGTCGTCAGCTCGTCGTCGGCTCCTCCCGTCGTGCTGGCAGCACCAACGCGTCGCTTCTTGGCTGGGGGATCAACGGAGCTGTCCGCCACCTCAGCACTAGACATCGGAGGACTTGACAGACGTGTTCACGGGGACGTCGGATTATGTGCCGTCGATTATTTCCCCTGATTGTGCCCTCACTCTTACTCTCTCTTTCTCTCTTTCTCTCTCACCCTTCCCTCTTTTCGCTCCCTCACTCTACCTCTCACGCTCTTTCTCTCCCTTTCTCTCCTCACGGTTCTCTCGACTTCGCGACTGCCACCCGTGCCGCACACACGGCTCGCCGAATCTCGAATGCACCTCGGCGACGACACCAGCACGTTAGACAGGTACCTAGCTACAGACGCGCACGACCAACCTCACACTGCCATCATCACTGCCGTCGCACACGTCGCCCCCACCACTCTCCTCCTCTTCTCTCCACTCCACTTCCTTGCTGCCTTGCTCTTGTTCGACCGCCACTACCGCGCGCCGCAGTTTTGCAAACTCGTGAATACCCTCGTGCCTATCCCGAAGTCCGTGACTGTCTCCGACTTCGTGTCCGTTTGTAGAACACTGCCAATGCCTTTGTCCCTTGGGCCGAGAACGTCGACACGAGAAGCCTCGAACCGCGTTCACGACACACCGTTCCGCCTGATCAGTGATCCACCGACGCTGCCAGACGCTACCCGCTGCCGCCGCGCCGCGTTCCACCGCGTTCCTCGCCCAATCTCCTCACGCACTCATTCGCTGTTGCTACACGGATTCGTCGATTCGCTCGCTGTCCCCTGAAGTTGTCGCTATGCCGCGATCGACTCTGATTGGATGCGCCACGAATAAGGAGAATTCTAGAATCGGCGCGCGCGCGCGCGCGCACCGATGACGTATGTCGTCCGTGTGTGTTTCGTGATTTTTATTAAATCCAACATTTGCGAATTTCTTTGATTTTACTCCAAATATACTCTCGAATTAAATTTGATAAACCGACTGTAAAGCTTATTCTACAATTGTAGAATAAGCTATGAATTATAAATTAATTATAAATTATAATAAAATAATTTATGAA